CCTATGAAATTATACTAAAACAATTATTCGCCTTAGGCTCGGTGGTTATTGTTAAATGAAAACTTCGACTTTGTCTCTGTCCCTACTTACCGATAATCACCTAGCCTTCGGCAATAAATTGTTAATTATTTCTGTTTTCTATAATTATATTCATATTTTGTAAAGGGCCCACTGTAATTGGTGTTAAGCTGTTGTGGTGTCCCAGCTTCTTTAATGCATTCATTGTATAATGTTTGGAAGCGAAGCACAATAAATAAATAAATAAATAAAAGTACCTTTTACTGCAATTTACCTTTTACTGAAATTTTGTAGTAATTGTAATGAAGGGCAAAATTGGATGAGTTGTACAGTCGTAATTCATTAATACACTGATACATATGTACACTACATGCATACGTCACGCCATTGACTTTGGCCCGTTGTAAGCCCTAACTTTCCATGGGGGTCGTGAGCTAGACCGCTGCAACTCCCCCGCATTTTTTTCCACCTCAGTCCCACTATTTCCACCAGAATCCGGCCTTGACCTCAACTAAACACATTCAATGTATGTCGCTCTATCAGTTATAGGGTTCTTGGAGGTCCAATGAGCGCCATCTTATGTTGGGCCTATATGGTTTTCACAGAAAGAAGATTGAACTTAACCTTACTTATAAAGACTAGCTCTATCAGTTCTATAAGCTATACTGCATGAAAATACTCTTCTCATATATACAACTATAAAGTGGTTCTCGCTCTTTCTTCTCCCGATATTAATTTCAACCAAGGTTAATCACTGATGCCTTATAGAATACTTCAACAGATCAAGACTAAAAAGAATAGCTCTATCAGTTCTATAAACTATACTGCATGCAAGCACTCTTCTCTGACAACTATAAACCGATTCAAAAAATGGTTGTCGCTCTTTCTTCTCCCGGAATTAATTTCAACCAAGGTAATCACTGATGCCTTATAGAATACTTCAAGTCTTCAACAGATCAAGACTAAAAAGAATAGCTTTATCAGTTCTATAAACTATACTACATGCAAGCCATAGATGCAAGCACTCTTCTCTGACAACTATAAAGTGATTCAAAAAATGGTTGTCGCTCTTTCTTCTCCCGAAATTAATTTCAAACAAGGTAATCACCGATGCCTTATAGAATTCTTCAACAGATCAAGACTAACAGTTTTGCAAAATATAAATACCGAATATTCTCTTTATAAATCAACTCTTAAAATTATCGGTGTTTGTGCTAGATTTAGCAAGGAAGACTACTATAGCCTCGTTTTGGTGCTATAAATAGGGCTATACTTTCTCTTGCATGGATTGTGTTCAATCTTAAAATCTTACACTTTGCTTTGAATAACGGTCTCTGCTAAACAATTGTTTATTAGCCTGGTAATGCACAAAATTTAAGCTATAGTTTTTTGAATTGGTAAATACGGCAAGATTACGACCAGACAACAAGAGTCAAATTTAGTATCGACTTGCAGAAGTCGAACTAGCTGTGGCCGGCCACCTGCCAGAATTTTATTTTAAAATGAATTTGTAAACCACAATATGACATACCAAAGCACGTAGCCATAAGCAACTATTTGCAGGTGCAACAATTAAAGTTAATCGAAAATTAATCCTCCATTATATATTTCAGCAAAGAATACATTTCTCATCGGCCTATACCTTATTTAACAATTTCTACTTTGGAATACCAAAACATTTTTCAAGTATCCGTTTTATATGACTGGTGTAGAAGATACGAACTTTCAAATATAGCAAGGAATAGACCTTCATAAACAAGTTTATCGTTCGAAAGGCATTGACGGATACGTTTTAATATGGCTACTATAAAAGACAATAATTTGCAAGCCTGTTCTGATTGGTTTTCGTTTCATTTAAGCCATATTGAAGACTGCCAGGAGTCGAAGATAAAGTCGCTGTGGCCGGAATGCGAGGAGTGTCGTGTGGCGTACGAGAGTTTGAACTACACGAGCACTGAGGGAGAGTTTGGTTTAATGACACGAGAAATATTGGAAAACCTGGAAAAAGTATGTATTTTTTCTGAAGTATACTTGTAGAAGGGTTTTGTGAATGGAATTTTATACAGTCATTGTGCAATTACTGTAGGTCCTCTGGTAGGAATGGAACCTGCGGGTCTGCGATTCCAGTGCAGCGCTCTAACCAACTGAGCTACAGAGAGACAGTTGTCGAGCTCTAATCAACTGAGCTACTGAGAGACAGTTGTCGAGCTCTAACCAACTGAGCTACAGAAGACAGTTGTCGAGCTCTAACCAACTCAGCTACAGAGAGACAGTTGTCGAGCTCTAACCAACTGAGCTACAGAGAGACAGTTGTCGTGCTCTAACCAACTGAGCTACAGAGAGACAGTTGTCGAGCTCTAATCAACTGAGCTACTGAGAGACAGTTGTCGAGCTCTAACCAACTGAGCTACAGAAGACAGTTGTCGAGCTCTAACCAACTGAGCTACAGAGAGACAGTTGTCGAGCTCTAACCAACTGAGCTACAGAGAGACAGTTGTCGAGCTCTAACCAACTGAGCTACAGAGAGACAGTTGTCGAGCCCTAACCAACTGAGCTACAGAGAGACAGTTGTCGAGCTCTAACCAACTGAGCTACAGAGAGACAGCTGTCGAGCTCTAACCAACTGAGCTACAGAGAGACAGTTGTCGAGCTCTAACCAACTGAGCTACAGAGAGACAGTTGTCGAGCTCTAACCAACTGAGTTACAGAGAGACAGTTGTCGAGCTCTAACCAACTGAGCTACAGAGAGACAGTTGTCGAGCTCTAACCAACTGAGTTACAGAGAGACAGTTGTCGAGCTCTAACCAACTGAGCTACAGAGAGACAGTTGTCGAGCTCTAACCAACTGAGCTACAGAGAGACAGTTGTCGAGCTCTAACCAACTGAGCTACAGAGAGACAGTTGTCGAGCTCCAACCAACTGAGCTACAGAGTGACAGTTATCGAGCTTTAACCAACTGAGCTACAGAGACACAGTTGTCGAGCTCCAACCAACTGAGCTACAGAGAGACAGTTGTCGAGCTCTAACCAACTGAGCTACAGAGAGACAGTTGTCGAGCTCTAACCAACTGAGCTACAGAGAGACAGTTGTCGAGCTCTAACCAACTGAGCTACAGAGAGACAGTTGTCGAGCTCTAACCAACTGAGCTACAGAGAGACAGTTGTCGAGCTCTAACCAACTGAGCTACAGAGAGACAGTTGTCGAGCTCTAACCAACTGAGCTACAGAGAGACAGTTGTCGAGCTCTAACCAACTGAGCTCCAGAGGCCAGTTGTCGAGTTCTAACCAACTGAGCTACAGAGAGATAGTTGTCGAGCTCTAACCACAAGTTCATCCATCTACTAACCCTTCAACATATAGTTATATAAAGCATGGATAATAAAATAAATGGATAGGACTCTATAGCTGACGTCACAGTCTAAACCTAGTTGCAATTTGTGACGTCACGCGTATTGCCAAAGTTCTCGGCATTTTTGTTGTTTCGCTATATTTCCGCTTTAAAAGAGTAATATTGAAGCATAAACTGGTCTAATTGTTTTAAAAACATGCCTAAGTATTCAAAGTATTCAAGGTAAACGTTTTTCGTCTTTGGTTTTTGGGGTTTTTTTTTACATTTGTAACTACGAAATTGGCGTCACCAATTTTAACGACATTTGGGATGCATTTTCACTGTTTAGTACTTGAAATAATTTCTAAAATTGACTGGGAATACTTAGAGATTTCATCGTAGAATGGCGTAGTTATATAAAATGTTTAGCTGTATTACTGCTAAACATGCCGTTTTTGAGAATTTGGTTTGCAACTAGGTTTTAACATTGAACCACGCCATCATCCCATTGAATTGAAAACATTAGGTCACGTCAGCTAGTTTCCTATCCATTTATTTTATTATCCCATGTATAAAGTGAGATGCCCAAAATCTAGTTGACGAGCCGGTCATTTTTCCTTGCTAAGGAACCCTGTTCCAAAACTAGTCAGGCCCAGCTTTTGGACAAGGAAAATTCGTCGACCGTCAAGGGAAGGGAAACTTGTTGACCGTACACACGAGAAGGTAAACTTATCAAGGAAAACCTGCTCGTGTGTATGGGTTTTTATCGTGTCCACCGTTGATGTTTAGATCTTATTGAACACAGTTACTGTTCAGCCATCTCTTGTTCGGTCTCCTCTGTCTTCTGTTCTCCTTAATCTCCATGGCTCGGAGCAGCTCGCCGTCATCTCTTCATACACTTTCAGCCTTGCTTCTCTCACCTTCTTTGTAATGTCAACCATTCAATATCTCTATCTATCTAACCGGTTCTTCATCTCTTTTAATTGTGTCCATATACCATGGCTATGTATCTTGCTTTCATTACCTCTGCAATGTCTTCCACTCCATAACTTCTGATCTCTTCATTAATAGACCATTTGCATTATAGACTAAATTTTGATCTAAACAAGTCTATAGAGAAAAAATTCATCACAGCTTGAAAGAGCATCACAAAATTAGTAATATTCCAAAGTTTGGTTGCGAAATGTTGTAAAATGCGGATAATATAGCCTTGCGAAATTTGCAATTTTCAGTCATTTTGCATTACAAACGGGAAATTGACGGAAATTGACAGCCCAATACCATTTGGGGCTCCCCGCGTAATGCAAAATGACTGAAAAACGGCAAACTTCGCAAGGCTATATTAATCAACGAAATTTTGGAATATTACTAATTTTGTGATGCTCTTTCAAGCTGTGATGAAATTTTTCTGTAGACTTGTTTAGATCAAAATTTAGTCTATAATGCAAATGGTCCATTCCTCATCTTTAATTTCTAATTCCATCATAATTCCTTGTCCTTAATTCCTTTTGCCAACAACATTAGCATCTCCGTCCTTCTAACCGCGTCTGCTTCTATTTTCCGCACCATCCAGCATCACTAAATTTTGCTATCGGTCCTAACCCATCCGTTGCTATATGCGACTTTTAGCAGTAAAGCGCGACTGTAGAAATCGAACTAACGACTCTGCTATTCGCGAATTTTTGCTTTGATCAATGTGTGGGCACTGTCAGGCTACTGTATAGACGTCAGGCTACTGTAACGTCTACCGGTTATGTACCGCGTAAAAATCCCACTAAATATGCTCGCAACAGAGATGCATAACAGAGGTTGTAATGCGTGCGTTATCAACCTTGTATATAGTAAGTTTGTAGAAAATCAGCTAGTATGTAGTCTTCTAAGTCTAACAATCTGAGAACAAAAGGAACAAGGCAAGCAAGTCAAATGAATTAGTAGTGGTGGTTGGGGGAGGGGGGATGTTACAAACGAGTGTCTGTGCTCATATCTTGATTTCTCGGTTGCGCAAGCGTCAACGTTTCTATGGCAACCATAAAATTTAAATCCCCGATGTGTTCGAACCAATGGCGGAAGAACGGAATCATAGTAATCGTTCCATGTTTCGCGCACCAATATAGTAAACGTTATGTAATGGATATTATAGTGTACTGAAAAGTTAACTGGATACCTCCATATACATATATACACACTCTAACCCTATCCCTAACCTTAAACCTAACCCTAACCCCTAACCCTAACCTAACTCCTAACCCTAATACCTAACCCCTAACCCTAACTTATATTGGTGCGCGAAACATGGAACGATAACAGAAGTCATCTTTTAATCTTTTTGTAAACAAAGCCAATTAAACGAAATATCTGTAATAGTTATAATGTCAAGTAAGATTTTGAGATCACAAAGAAGAATATAAGAGCATTGAAAATCTATGCTAAGATAAGTTTATTGTTTTAATTTGATCAATTAATATCGATAATTATACAGTATAACACATATGTGAATTCATTAACTAAAGTATTCTATTTTCAATATATATGATTTGCAATACCCCCAAGGCCCCATTATAAGTTATTATACCACAATTATTGATGGGAAAATAATGATCAAAACTTGTGGTTCAGACCTTTTGCCTATATAGAAAATGTCTTTAAAGAGTTCAACTCGTTTAGGAGTAAATGCTTGGCTATTTAAGTCTATTTTTGAACTATCCCTAAAGAGTTTTATGCAGCTTTTAGCCAGAGAGTATAGAAACAAACGGTTTCTTTGTCTATTTTTCGACCGAGTGTTTTTAATGTTCAGTTGATCCCAGCGACTGCCTTGATCTCTCGCATTATTCGTCCGATGCTATTCTTTCCCATCGGCACTTTGTTAAACCAGATGTCGCCTTTCGGTTTATGCTTTGGTGTGAGGTAGAACGACGAGATTCCTGGCGGACGATGTTTCAAGTAGACTTTAAAAGCTCGAACGGGGTCTCGTTCGCTTCCGTCGGTTGCGATCATTCCCGCCCTGCATTTTCCCTTGTTGCGCGTGTAGTCGTTATCATTTTCGACTGAAAGCTTTCGTTTCGCCGTGTTTTTTATGTGTTCAATACACAGCTTGCCTTCCATTGAGCGCGAGATTTGAAAGTCCTCGATATTAAGATCATGATGTGCCACTCTACCGCGTATACCGTGATGGATCGTATTTAACCACCACATAAGCCTTAGTAAAGCTCGCGGGCTGTGAATTCCTATCGCACCTGAAGTCCACATTTTTTCCAGCTGTTCCTTAGTGATGCTTTCTACAACATTAGAGTGATTGCGCTTACAGTTTCGTTTCAGTTCATTCCGTTTCGTGATCAAATGATAGTTAACTATATCAAATTCCTTATCCGCGAGATCAAAATTGTCCGGAATCCGTTGTACCGCAGGAGTATCTGGTCCGTCTTCCTTATCGGGATCCGTAACTTCAAAGTCGAGCCCTGGAGAGAAGAAACGACATGTAAAATAATATGCACGCGTGTACAAAAAGTACGAAAAACAGTTAAAGGTACTTTGAAATTTAGAAAATTTAGTCGAGGTTCCCTCGTTTTGACTTTACAAGTTCGCCCAGTCCACTGGCTGTCTACGCGCACGAGGAAATGGTTGTTAATTTTAAGGCTGCATCAGTCAGTTCCATTAGGATCGTTTTGTTCGTGCCCGACGTGCAACCTCGTTCCCAGGCCCTTCCCTCTGAGAACGAGGTTGCCCGACGTGCGGCTCTGGTTGCATGTCCACGCGCTATATAGGTTTTTGGCGTGATCTATTTAATCCACTGGCACATCTCTCTCCAGATCGAGGCTTTTTGGACTTCCCGATTATAGCAAAACGACAGAATGGAAAAATGTTCTCTTGTTAAAAGCAGAGAAATCCTGCAACTGGCGGATCGAGGAAATATATTTTGCTACACCTAGCCTGAGTGCATAACTGGCGGTCTTAAAGCCCTGATTCCACGAGCGCTTTTTGTCAGCGAAATGCGAAATATTTCGCCTGTTTCTTTTGAATTGCGACTACTCGAATAAATTATTTCTACTAATAGAGACATTACGATTTTAGGACGGCGACTGCCAAAACAAACTCCTTCGATAAATGGTAGTAAAGATAGTTCGTGGTATATTATCAATCGTATATGAATTTAATACAGTTTTAGAAGTTGCCGAAGACATGGGTTTTATGGTTGGGAAGAGTTCTGCTAAACCCAGTTTGAAGTTACACTTGTTGCGGCTTGGAATGCAGCCGTTGTATCACGACGTAAAAATCTGTGATTTGGCGTTGTAAACAGAGCGAGGACAATGTCTAAGTTATTCATATATTGTAATTACTCAATTCGTTTCAATGATGTATTGTATTGGTAGCCGTTGCCGTCGCGTGGCCGTCCTAAAATCGTAAGGTCTCTAATAGAGAGTTTGAGCAAGACAACGAAGTCGGACGACGACGACGTGGTTGACAATTTTTGCCTGTCTTGCACATTACCTTGCACATTCTGAGTTTAGGGTCAGGAGTGAAGACAGATTAGAGATTTATGTCTAGCTGTTTGTGAATGCTGACCCAAATCCTTACCCCGATCAGGATAAAACAGCGAGACATGAATCCATATCCCGTCTTCGTCTTCTGCCTTCGTTTACAACGAATACTTTGGCAAATTACGTTGTGAAACTCGTTCTGCACGAAGGCAGAAGGACAAAGAATAATAATAATAATTTACTACTTATATAGCGCAAATTAACATGCAATTGGTATGATCAAATGCGCTTTACAAACTACTTAAACTAGCTATAGATTTAAAAATATAAATAAATAAAATTTAGAATATTTACAAAAACAGTTACCGCTCAAGTTCTAAAGTTTATTTATACATTAAAAGCTTCCCTGAAATAGTGTGTTTTGAGAAGTGACTTAAAAGTACTAAAATTTTCCTGACTTCTTATAAAAACAGGAAGACTGTTCCATACTGTTGCTGAGGCATTAGAAAATGCCCTGTCTCCTAATGTCTTTTTCGACCGAGCAGTGTTATCTTGTATAGTAACTTTCCTGTATTTGATCTAAGGTTGTAACGAGGTGTCTTCTTGATGGTCACTAAACTGCTTAGATATTCGGGAGCAGTTTTGTTTATACATTTGAATGTGAGCATTGCAATTTTAAAATTTATTCTAAATTTAACTGGTAGCCAGTGTAATCTGATTAACGACGGTGTGATATGTTCATGTTTTGGAACTGAGCACACCAAGCGGGCTGCAGCATTCTGCACTCGTTGAAGCTTCATAAGATGCGTGGACGAAACACCGAATAGTAAGCTATTATAGTAGTCTATTCTTGACATGACCATGGCCTGAACAATCGTCTTTCTGTCTTCAAAGCATAAAAATCTCTTTATTCGCCTGACATTATGTAAGTGATAAATCACAGATTGACAGGTCTTATTAATTGCCGTTTTCATACTCAAAATGTTATCAAACCAGGATCCAAGATTTCATGTCTCGCTGTTTTTTCTGGATCAGGGCAAGATTTATGGTCAGTATTCATAAACAGCGACACATGGGAAGATACGTTATGCAACCACCAGTGACGTCCAACTCAGTATGCGCAAGATAATGTACATACGGCAAAAATTGTCAAGTATGCCTTCGTCTTCGTACTTCGTTGTCTGCTCAAACTCTCTACTTATTCATGTAGTACGGTTACTTACCACTAGCCAGTTGGATGAATGCAAACGCGCAGAACAAGACTTGAAATTTCATTGCTATTTTCCCCTGTCCTCTTCTTCAAAAAATTTTTTTCACTCACTGCTCTGCTAAAACAACCTTCGGCCAACCAACTGATTTAGCGAGAATGATTAACACTGTTCTAATGCACAACTTTTATCTTCGGGTACCGCGAGTATACTCATTGGAGTGTTACAAATTAGTCTGTGAGCCAATCAAAATGAGTGTTTGCTATATTATGTGTTATTTTTCACCCTGCTCGGTTTCCTTTGTTCTTGTCGGGGAATATATTCAATATTCTCCTCTAATCAATTTCCATTTAATAATCCCCTCTAATATTCACCTGCATTTAATAATCCCCTCTAATATTCACCTGCAATGTCTTTGCAGCACAAAAAATGAGAAAAAACAACATCGCAAAAGCAATATGGCATTGAGAATTATTTCTTTTCTGACTCATTAACGCGACCCCGCAGTGTGAAAAATAAGTACGTTATTTTGAGGCACCTCGGGGATATGTGTTTCTTCACCTCGGCGCTGCGCGCCTCGGTGAATAAATCACATATCCCCTCGTTGCCTCAAAATAACCTATACTAAATGAGGTGAATGACAGAGGATATAACGTAAAAGCCATTATACTAGGTTTTAAATGGTTGGATGCGTTTCCCCTATTTGATGTAAACGCAAAGGAAGCCTGCACATGCAATATCAACAATATCATGCGTTATTATTGGCGGTGAGGGAGGGAGGCTTGATCGCTTTTTGATGTATATAAATTATAGCTTGTTGTTGTCCTCTATATAGTTTGAAATTTTTCGGTACAATGAAAATCTTAGACTTAGTCAATAGTTCCATTATCATGCATTCTAGCAAAATTTTCAACTGAAAACCTTTATTTTCATCGATTCACAGTACATTTCCTCCACATGGCTGGGAAATTAAAGGCGCTTAGGAAATCATGCTTATTTTCAAAGCGACTTTACAAATTAGTCGCGAAATTACTATATGCATGAGTATGGCAAACACATATATATAGCCTCCATGAGAATATTCACAGGCCCAAAAATTCTGGCAAACACGAGATTTGTTCTTCGCGAAGAGGCATGGTTTAATAATTAGGCCCTGTTTACACTATACCTGATTCGCTGGTCACGACATCTTCTTTTGCCGTTACGGAGCAATGGTTAGTAGCAAATGCTTATTAGTTTGACAGAATTGGTATGTTTATTTGGGTCTCTGAGATTAAAAATCTTCACAGCCTTTCGATACCTGCAAAATTTGACCCACTCCGATAGCAATCCGGTATAGTGTAAACGGGGCCTTGGGTGTTGCCCGCCAGATACTATTAACAAATTTTTATATTTTATATAGACTATCATATAGCGAATATATATAAAAGGTTTTTTTCGGCGGTAAATAGAACTGTATTATAAACCGGGCCGCGAGATCTAATAGTGCGTATATATTAAATTTAACATAACACAGGTTGTCGGAAACATGGAAGGAACTCTGGAATAAAGACTTTTTATACCTGCCATAAGACAAGGACCCGTTTGAATCCTTTGATCTTTGCATGACATAATCACACGTAAACATTGCACAGACTTCACACAGCAATGCTATTAAATACTTCAAACTTTTATTATATATCTTTCGTTCCTTTGTTTTTTATGTACAATTATTTCTTTCTAGCTTTTTGTCTAAATATAATACAACAATAGGCCTGTCAAATTACACTTCCTATTCCAATGTTCATATAGATCTATATTTTATATGTACATTTATAGACTTTATATGTATAGTCCCCAGCGAAAACATATATACTATAGCAGTATAACCCTGTGTATTAAAAGTTTTCGGCTAATGTGTCGGCGAACAATGTACAAAAAAGCGAGTTCTTTTTCTAAATTTTATCAGTTTTAACCGTATCTTGAACTATATTATGCTATAATTCAACGTGTTGTTCAATCAGTTTCATATTGAAACATTTTGTTTCAGATTTTGTTCGCTAAGCCGGCTAAAGAGTAAAGGAATAAACTTTCACAGCCTCGCTCGTACGAATTATTAGCTATTTAGCTGTATTGCTAGATTCAAGGTGTTAACAGAGGGCTCGCGTTTTTGTACCGCATTGTGGCACATTGAGATAAAATCTGCCGTTTTTATAAACACAGGTCCCATTAGTAAGTGCACGTTTCATTAGTTTCTAACTACAGTAGATTTATACACCATGCATGCAACCTCGTTCTCAGAGGGAAGAGCCTGGGAACGAGGTTGCACGTCGGGCACGAACAAAACGATCCTAATGGAACTGACATGCATGCAGTCTTAAAATTAACAACTATTTCCTCGTGCGCGTAGACAGCCAGTGGACTGGGCGAACTTGTATCCCAACGAACTTGAATGATTTATAATAGACTGATGCAATATTAAGAAGAATTAAGAGGAAAGAAAGAAGACCAAGATATTGTTAGTGAATTTCCTTCTGAACGTTAAGTTTTTTTTGAAGGAGGGTCATTTTTGCAGCTAGGATTCAACCCGTCGACATATTTTCAGGCTTTTCAGAACTTTCAATCCTTCGGTACGTAGCACCTTGTCTTTCCAGTAAAAGATTAAACAGTTAAATGTACAGTTCATCAAAGCTACGGTTACAGCCCACATCCATGCAAGCTTTGCATTGTCCAAAGTATTTTTTGTCTCTGGCGAGTTTATTCTTAGTCCAATGTAGACGAACGTTGGAATGGAGACCACCACACCACAAGCGACTGTTAGCAAACAACTCGATATGTTTTTCAAAGAAAACGTCTTTTTCATCTCGGGCGATATTCTTTTGTTTTTACGACTTTTCCTGACGACTAGAAACAGTTTGTAGTTGATGAATAACGTCGGAGGAATCAGAAGAACAGCACGAATTGTAATATGTACTTGGTCGGAAATAAGGAAGTCGTTCACAGATATTACTTTCAAAATTACGTCGAGGATGATCAGTATTGCAAGAAGAGTTGAAAGTCTTCCTTTTGTTACCGATGTTCGATGAAAGATAGGATAAGATGTCGCCAAATATCGATCGAAACTCACTACCAAAAGAGCGAAATATGAAAAACCAAGGAAAGCACATGTGGATCTTAAGAGAATATGAGGCCATCTAGCATTTACATACAACTTTCCCGTTGACCATAACATTGCGATAAGAGCCATCAATAGATTATTAGTTAAAACCGCGAGCAAATCGCAACAGGACAAAAGCATTATCATGAAATAACATAGTTTCTTTCGAAGCTGTACAGACCTCCAGAAACTGAGTATAACCAAGGAATTTAAACACAATCCGGAGAAAAAGAAGAATATGTTCACAGCAAATATGAATATGAGGTTGATAAAATAAATAGATTCCATCCTCGAGCGACTTCTTCTGAAGAATTAAACATAAAAATAATGCCGTTGCGTTTATGCATGTATGGCATCTAAATTAAAATTACTAAAGTGTGTATAAATGACATATATAAGTACTGTATACATTTCATTTTCGTAATATGATAATATGAAGAAGAGATAATATGTCTCTGTGCTTCATGCAAGAAATTATTGCATGAACGGCAGTGTTATATATAAGATGAACAAACGGCACGAGCCGCAGGCAAGTGACTATTACATACAACACAGAACGCGTTCATCATACAGATTTGGAACTGATAGAGCTATCCAAGCAACATAAATAAAGTTAGTTTAGTTTTCCCACTGTAGTAATACTGTAGTAATCCTGAATCAATATGAGAGATGACCCTTGCGGGACCTCTAGAGAAAGCAATTTAGAACTGAAGTTTCTTTCTTTTAATAAGCAGTTTTAGCCTGATTTTTATATAACCTCATCTTATAATGTGTTTAACTCCGTAGTAAGATGAAACATGCTGTTAGCTTGGGCCATCTGTCCTCTCAAAACAAATCTCTCGCCCTGCTCTCGAGTTGTTTTCCAGAACTGCAAACAGTAATAACTATTAAGGTATAGGTTTTAATTATACATGTTGACAGAATGATATGTACTTTACATAACTTTAAATTAAGACGTTTTTATATACTACAGCAAACTAAATTTAAATTGTACGCTTTACATACATTTTAAAATCCAAGCATTAATATGTCCACTGTTTATTTTCACTTTCCAAACTTCAAATACTTTCTGCATGAAGTATTATGCTGATCAATGTCACGTCCACAGACCAAACCTTTGATATATATATTAGTGATGGGGAGCTTCTGTTATTTGGGGGGACAGGGGCATAGGCAGCCCCAAACGTTTGGGAGGGAGGGACGTGATCTCATGCAGGAAAATTCTTGAAATGTTAAGGTCTCCGATACGATATTTCATGCGTTTTAGACTCGTTTTACTGATAATCTGAAAGCCACAGATTTGGTATGTTTTATATCATAGATGCATGAAAATATTAAGAGGTTACAGCCCCCGTCCCAGCTGTTTCTCCCAACTGTTGAAAGAATTGCAAAATTGCCAAATCAACATTAGCATCTCCGTCCTTCTAACCACGTCTGCTTTTATTTTCCGCACCATTCAGCATCGTTAAATTTTGCTATCGATCCTCACCCATCCGTTGCTATATGCAACTTTTAGCAGTAAAGCGCGACTGTAGAAATCGAACTAACGACCCTGCTATTCGCGTATTTTTTGCTTTGATCAATGTGTGGGCACTGTCAGGCTACTGTATAGAGTGGGTGCCAATAGCAGCAACGTCTACCGGCTTTGTACCGCGTAAAAATCCCACTAAATATACTCGCAACAGAGATGCATAACAGAAGTTGTAATGCGTTATCAACCTTGTATATAGTAAGTTTGTAGAAAATCAGCTATGTAGTCTTCTAACAATCTGGGAACAAAAGGAACAAGGCAAGCAAGTCAAATGAATTAGTAGTGGTGGTTGGGGGGAGGGGGATGTTACAAACGAGTGTCTGTGCTCATATCTCAGCATGATAGCAATGTCAGGTTGATTTCTCGGTTGCGCAAGCGTCAACGTTTCTATGGCAACCATAAAATTTAAATCCCCGATGTGTTCGAACCAATGGCGGAAGAACGGAGTCATCTTTTAATCTTTTTGTAAACAAAGCCGATTAAACGAAATATCTGTAATAGTTATAATGTCAAGTAAGATTTTGAGATCACAAAGAATATAAGAGCATTGAAAATCTATGCTAAGGTAAGTTTATTGTTTTAATTTAATTAATTAATACCGATAATTATAGAGTAATACAGATAATTGCCAATTAGAAGTAGTCCAATCTGAGAATAAACTCTACGACTACGAGTAGACAACGACCAAATTTAAAATAGCTGTGTGTAAACAGTACTACAAGTCATATAACCTGTGATAAAACGTAGCCAAGCTTTCCCAAATTCCTACCTGAGAATTATTTTTGTTTTATATATATAACTTATTTTCATTTGTTTCGTTTTATAGAGTGAGGCCATCGCAACAATGAAATATTTAAGAGAATAAATGTATCATATTGCATTGAATTTATTGTTGTAATTGTACTATAATATACAGCTAGCAATGTGGGCTACATATAAATGAGTATAAATTAGAGCTACCATTGTCATTGAACTATAAAACTATGGTGGGCAGAGAATCTCAAAGAAAATTGCTGCACAATGTAAGACCGATGTCGGAACCTTGTTCGATATTGAAATCAAACTCACAGTATCAAAGGACTTCACAAAATTCTGGAAATAAAAACAAGCAAAGCATGGTCAAAACACAAACTGGAAGACAGAGGGATGTTAGAAGATCTTATCATGCACCTACAAAGTCTAATGCATACGACAAACAGTATTGTAGTCAAACTTTGGTATGTACAAGACCTCACTCAAGAAACACCAGCTCACAATTAACGAGTTTGGGTGCCAAACCGCTGCAAAAGAATGCTACTACACAGAGCAGCCTTAATAATGGTGCTAAACTTTATACCAAAACGTCAAACAGTAATTTTGTCTCTAATTATGGAAGATGCCTTTCAGCTCCTTCAACTAGAAGTTTTTATAGAACATCGGAACAGCACCACGCCAAATGTACACTCGAGGGTGAATTAATTAATGGTAGCAAAGTAAATCTGAGGACAAAACATAGATGTATGTCTGCTCCGAAGATTTCGAGAAATGTTTTATCTGTTTGTAATACCTTAACCAAAGCAAGCCCCAGCAATCGACAAACGGTGCATCCGAGGTCGGCGGAAAAGTTCTCCAACTCTTTGCTATCAAAGACTATTGAATTTGACAAGGAATCGATGTCAGACGTGATGTCATTTTCTGATGACATCATCGAGCTGCAATTGGATGCATGTTCGACAAGCGATGATTCGTCAGTCGTGGATGTTAGATGGAGACCTCGATCTTGTATTTCGTTTAGAAGAGTAGTTGAGCTTGTACCCAATTCCAAGCATCATTGTGTGACTCCTCTGAAAAACAGACCTCACTCTTCTCCAAACCCGGTAAGACCACATATAATTGTTTAGGATTATGAGTTCATTGGCGAAGTAATTTTAAAAATCGACGTTGTCTAAGCCGAAAATATTAAAACCACTGGTGATTTTCTTTGTCTTATATCTCATGCTATGATTTGTGTGCGCGAATCACAACTGGCTTACTATCGCATCCGGAATCTTTTGAAAATTGCTTTTATATTAATATGTAAATGTGTAAAATTATTATTGATATTGCAATATAGCTGTCATGTTAACAAAAACAATTGTGTACACTGCACTTGTGCAGAGGGATTAATCGGCCCTCCATTAAAACAGAGCATTTTAAAATGAACGCGTATCCTTCCAAAATTAGTACCATTTTGCGAATTAGTACCATGAAACATTGACAGAAAATTAAACTATTAAAATGTTGAAAAAACTCGGTCATGGCTGTGACAAACAGCTAGGGTTGAAAAATTACATAGCTGTACTGGATGGCTTTCCTTAGCGACGTGAAAAAACACCTATTAGTACCTTTTAGGAACGCTATTTTCAGAGGAATTATTGCAACGGAGAGATGTTGTTTCGCTCAGCTTCTGAAAGTTGTATAAAAAAATTCCGTATCGGATAGGTGCTTTTTCGCGCCGCTACGGGAAGCTATCCGGTATAAAGCCGTGAACTTCGACGTTTCGAGCGAAGAAGACCTTTCGTTTGGAAGCGTTGCAACTAACATGCCGACGAATGGCGGAATGGCCTTCGCTCTGAACTTGAAGAAGTTCTGCCTGTATTTATAGTTGTTAATATACCATAGAATTACCATCAATCTTTATGTATAGAATTCTTAATGGTCACACCGCATCCAATCTAAAATAATCTTTTCGACTAAATAATGAAACAGGTATAACACATATACAACCGGAGAAATATAGAAAAGGGTGCTTTGGAAAAGGGTGCTTTGGCTACAGTGGTGTTGTACTTTGGAACAATCTTCCTTATGAGGCAAAACGACTGCATCCATAAGCTCCTTCAAAACTATTGAAACAAACGATGAGTTGAAGCCGGCTCGTTTATTTCCGGCTATATTTTGTCTTCTTGTGGTATCATGTTGTACTGCGGTGAATTGAGTGGTTTACATGAGGTATAAAACTGGCCGTTGACAAAGATCGTGACTCTAATTTTACGACCATAAGGAAACCAGGCTTTAAATTATTTTAAAAGTCTGTGGAAACGAAAACAGCGCAAAAGCTTTGTGTGTTATGCCGCGTCCTTTGTATTAAAGAAGCCTTGGATTAAATAGGGATTTTTTCCAAGTAGGCTGTATAAAGTAGTGTGATTTAAAGCTTAGTTTACCATAGAATGTTTATTTTGCACTTTGTGTATCGTTTATGACCGTTTAGTTTTGTTTGGTTGGCAACGAGTTGTGTTGTTAGTTGTTCTTAATTTGTAAATTATGGCGTGAAAGTTGGGTAAAATATGGCTATATATAGTTTGTATAATAAAAGTCAAGATATGTTTGGAAGTGTTTGATTGAGAATGTCGTTGGGAATTTGGGTAATATATATTTGGTTAATACAACAGGATTTTTTCTCAGTAAACGCAAACATATTATATCATGTTAAAATTAAAACGGAAAACTATAACAGTTGCTTTATTTGTGGTCATGAATTGTTCGTGTTTATAATATTGGGTCACTGCGTGCGTGGCAAAAACTTGCATCAACTTTCATCGAACTATGAACCACTATAAGTTGATGAGAGTCAGTGGACATGAGTCGATGAGAGTTTGCGGTCAATATATACACGAGCGAGTCGTTGCAACTCTCATCGTCGTTTGAGCGGGGTTTCACTTTACAGCTAGGCAGGAGGAGACCGCAACACATGCATGCAAGAAAGCCTGCGCTGGTTAATAGAGTCAAACTGGGAGTACTCGGCGGCTGATAATGTCAATGTGGCAAGCTTTGGTCACGGACGCGAAAGGGCATTCACATCAATGCGTCAATTACTGTGCCATCGTCAATCCAGTTGACTCGATAGCTCAATTGGTAAAGCGTTAGCCCCAGTTCACTGAATACCTGGGGCTGATTGTATATAAAGGCCTGTTTACCTTGCAATTTTTGCTGCGATTCTCTTCTTCTGATAAAGTGATGTATGTGAACGAATGGATCAGTTAGATGAGGGTACAATACACTCAGAACATTCATGTATATATAACTTATTTGTACTCGTTCATATCCATCATCAGCAGAAAATGGCACTAGTAATCGCAGCAAAAGTTTCAAGTTTTAACTCCGAACTACTTTTTAACCACTATATTTTATAGCTAAATCGTAGTTCACTCTACTCGAGTCTAAATCGTAGTCCTACGCGATATTGCGAGCTAAATCGTAGTTCACTCGACGCGATTTTGCTGTTGTTACTTTAACTACTATTTCATACAACTGACCCTAGGTTCAAATTCAGCTTATAGGCTGAGTTTTTACTATACGGTGTTAGGTTTTTATTAATTATTATATAGGAAATACCTTAACTACCATGCTGTCTTTATTTTTCAGAGGCAACGTGTGAAAGCCAAGCTCACTGACCCTTACAATGTAAGTATTTAGTTATGAATATTGTGTTCACACTGCTAGTTGTCCCATGTTGTCAACAGATTTGGAACAACTTGTTAACAACTCGTAACAACCTTGTTGATATTATCAGACTTGTTGCAAGGTTGTTCAGGTCCGATGCAGTCATGATATAACAATATTGTTATACAACCTTGTGTCGTCAACCTTGTAACATTCTTGTTATATCGTGACTGTATCAGACTTGTTATAACAACCTTGTAACAAGTTTGATAATGCCATCAAGCTTTTTACAACAACTGGGAACAGGCAGTTGTCGACAGATTGTGAACAAATCTGTAACAACTTGTTTGCATACCTGTGACAACTTGTGCGTTTTTACGTTGGTACACGTAAAAATGCACAAGTTGTAACAAACCTGCAGCAGACTTGTAGCCGAATGCTGCTCCAACAACTTGTCAACAGGATGTGTTCGCACTGCTTGTTCCCAGCTTGTTGACAACTTGCTACAAGGTTGTTGAGCTCAACGGACTTGTTACAAGTTGTTCCAACAACTTATTATCGTCCTGCAATTCAACAATTTGGTCAACAAGTTGTAATCGAGTGACAACCTTGTAGCAACTTGATAAAATAACAGTATTGTCACAACTTGTTGACAAGCTTGCTACAAGCCTGTTGCGAACACATTTTGTTGACAAGTTGTGAGATTTTTACGTGTGTCATGGCAAGCACAGGGACAATGACATCGATCAACACCCCAAGCCGTTCCACCGTGATCAGTTAGAATATATATTTTAAAGGAGATTGATAATAAAAAATAGTTTAGTTCATTTGAAAGAACTCTTAAAACTATATATTAAACTTTATTACAGATTGTTTATATCCTGCTTAGATTTCAAAACATTTCGACTGAAAAGAGTGAGCTGTTCGCCATCTTGGATTATTTAGGATATGCATGTTACGTCAAGAGAGGGGTCACGCTAATGTTTTATCTTGAGAGTAAGCGATCAATATGGGTCCAAAACTGCAGGACTTCTTTTCTGGTTGCTGTCTGAAATTTAGAAATAATTAAAAACATTTTAAACAATTTTGGATTGTTACTCGGTCATTTTAGAGTAGTTTTATATGGTTAACCCAACTCCTGACGTCATCAAAACCAGAGTTAATAATGAGGTCAAGAATTAGTCCAAGAGGACAGCTCGTTAATTTCGTTCTGAATATTTCGAGAACTAAGCAAGATATGAGATATGAGAAATCGGTAATAGAGTTTAATATATAATTTTAAGAGTTATTTTGAATGTGACAAACTATTTTTTCATTGTCAATGTCCTTTAACCATCAAGGCCTAATAACCAACCAAGCTGCTATATTTTTCAGTTTCGTCGTGGAAATGTGCCGAAGTACATCAGTTTTGTTGAGCCGATGCCCGTGCACGAGCGCCCGGGGACTGGGAAGAGTAGTGGTTATGGGAGCAGCGGGATAAGTATGGTTAGCGAGGACCTCTTGGTATCCGCTGGTACACAGGGGGAGCTGGCGGACAGTGGAGAGGAGTCTGAGCAAGAGTTAGATAATGGATACGAAAATTTGTTACCGTGCGATGGAGTGGACCCTAGGACAGCCGATATCGATGACGCAAGCCTGGAAGCTATGATGTCATCGAGATCTTCGTTCAATAAGTCTGAACTCGATGGTGAGTAAATGTCTTTCCCAAATGATTAAAATAGTCGAATTGATTTCTTCGTCAACAGCGCGACCATCTTGAATGGTAAAGCTACACGCGTAAAAATTTCACATCTTGTAGCAAGTCTGCCAACAAGCCGTCAACAAGTTGCGTTCGCACTGCTTGTCCCAAGTTGCCAATAAGTTTGGAATAAGCTGTTAACAATTTGTAACAACCTTGTTGATATCATCAGACTTGTTACAAGGTTGTTCCAACAAGTCCGATACAGTCATGGTATAGCAGTATTGTTACAACCTTGTATCGTCAACTTTGTAACATTCTTGTTATATCATGACTGTATCAGACTTGTTAGAACAACCTTGTGACAAGTCTGATAATTCCATCAAGCTTGTTACTACAAGTTGTTAACAGCTTGTTCCAAACTTGTTACAACAACTGGGGAACAAGCAGTCTTGTCGGCAACTTGTGAACAGATTTGTAACAACTTGTTTGCAGACCTGTAACAAGTTGTGCGTTTTTACGTGTGTACACACGTAAAAATCTCACAACGTGTCAATAAGATGTGTTCGCAACAGGCTTGTAGCAAGCTTGTCAACAAGTTGTAACAATGCTGTTATTTATTAAGTTGCTACAAGGTTATTGTTGAGAAAATTGTTGAGTTGCAGGACGATAACAAGTTGTTGGAACAACTGGTAACAAGTCTGTTGAACTCAACAGCCTTGTAACAAGTTGTCAACAAGCCGTTAGCAACTTGTCAACAGGCTGGGAACAAGCAGTGTGAACACATCCTGTTGACAAGTTGTTAGAACAGCATTGCTACAAGTCTGCTGCATGAGGTTTGTTACAACTTGTGCGTTTTTACGTGCAGTGTAAGTTATAACGGCAAAATCTGTTCTTCAATAGACTACAATCTGCATTTGCATTCTAATATGGCATCGATATTGATAAAAACTAAACTCAATTCTTGGGATATTGTAACGGTTCGCTCGATATTATAACGGTTTATATTGAAAACATTTCCTTTTTCAATGAACTTCCTTGAAGTACCATTACTAAACGTTAAAAGCTTTCATTTATGAACTTTTGAAATGACAAAGTAACCATTTTAAAGATTTTCGTTCCCTTATCTTCTTTTTGAGATTTTCGAGTTTGTGTGATATGCAAATTTGCGGAACTTTTCAAATTAATTACATGTCGACAAATCATATTTCATTTCTTGATTGACAACTTAAGCGAGCTGTATTAACATAGCCACAGGGATGACGATACAAAAAGCTATAATGATTTTGAATTCATTTTCTTCTCCCAAGAGTTGACCAAGTAAGGGCAAGTTGTGTATAAAATAGCACGAGTCTATATTAACAAAATAGTTTTTATTCGTGGTTAAAAATTTTCCCAATTGGCAATTCAAACAACAAGTTAATAATCTTTTATACAGCAACGTATAATTTTTATAATTATGCTTGCAAAATATCAATACTGTAGTGTAGATGAGTTGAATTTATTTTCCAAATGCTATTTTTTCTTTACACGATTTTAATTTTTTAACTCGTATTTTTAAAATTTTAATTAAATTTTACAAGTTTAAATTTCTCTTGGTTTTCATGCAAAGCGATTAATCATGCAAGATATATTATTTTGTCTTTCTGTATGTTGTTGCTGTATATAATAAATTTGCACCTGTCGAAATTTAAATATGGCGTATTTAACAAAAGGCTGCCTCATCTATACAGTCACGAATTTGGTCTTTTTGGTTAAGCCAAGGAAAATAAGCAATTTGATCCATTAAATACGCAAGTATGCAGTTAAAATTCTATTTTGTAAAGCGCGCCTGTGTTGTGGAAGTCTTTTAATGCATGTAGGCAATAAATATTTCTTTAGGTTTGGTAATATATTATATGTGAAATGGTTTTAGAACTGTCTTGTTTGGAATATGGCTGTAGCAAGTTACCTGCTTTGAATTGTTGCTTACTACTCAGTGGATATTTCGCGAGTGCACATGAAAATGCACTTGAGTGCACATTCGAAACAATAATTGAACTTGAGGCTGACCGAATTTGATCTCAATGCAGTAACAGCCGTGGACCGATTTATGCTAGGGATATAATAAATTACCCGTCAAAAAGTAAATTGGGTCTGACTTATCATTCTTCTAGAGAGTTGATGAGAGTTGCAGCTCTCGCTCGTGTTTAACCGTCGACTTTCGGCAATTCTCACGCACTCTCATCAATTGCGAGTTGGTTCAGAGTGTTGCTCGCGTTTAAATAATATCCAGTCAGCTCTCATGAACACTCTAGCTTACCGGACACACTTGAGTCTTGTTCGTCTCGTTCGACTGGGGCGTGAGAGTTCAGGAAATTAACAGAAAACTTTTGCTTGTCAATTTTCGTTAACTCTCATTCATCTGGCTAAATACAGCCCGACCTATTTTGAAGAAGTATCTATTCTATCGCCTATATTGTAAAATCACACTCAAAGAGTGCGGGAAGTTCAATCTGAGCTTCCCTTGGGTGTCAGTGCTATTTTTGAATTGCTGGAGGGTTAGTGCCGCACCTTAATATTTGACTACTCACCCTACAGCTATTCAAAAACAGAATTGACACTCAAGGGAAGCTCAGATTAAACCTTCACTCTTTGAGGGTGCTTTTAGAATACAGGCGTATTTTTTCGTCTTGTCGAGTGATCCGTTTGTTGCCACGTTCGTACACAGACGAATCATCAGAGGGACTATCCTTTCCTTAATGTCCAACTCCTTCCAGATTAATCATACACAGATCTTGAAAACGTGTTTAATGGTTTTGAGAATCTGACTTTGAATCTTTCAAATGTTCCTCAAAGGTGCGTAAAATCAGTCGGAATAATCTGACCCTACAAAACAATAGAGGCTTTCCCTCAACTTTGCTTTTTCCTTTTTTTTCTAATTCTCTTCCACTTTTCCTCTCGTTGTCCTTTGTAAACATCGTTCTTTAAACTTACATTATACATGTCCAAAAATTCCTACTTTGGTCTTACTTTTTTACATAAAGATGCCAGAAAGCCTGACAATATCATATATATTCATGCGATCAATCTGAACATTGAAAAACACTTCCTGATCTCATATGACTAATATTCAGTATGAGTCCATCAGATGTGTCGCAAATTGAAAATGTTGTTGATCCAGAAATTCCACCATTTTCAAAATCTGCATGGAAATACAAGACGAATAATTTTTTTGCTCTAATATAGGAAGCTTTCTTGACGGGGAAGGTTCTAATATGGACGGAGATGGAACAGAGGACAACATGTTTTCTGGTGAAGATCAAGATAGGCTGGATTCTGCGGAACAGCGCAGTGGATACGGTTTGAATGGGAATGGTGATTTCACAGAAATTGATCCAGCTCTGTTTGGCGAAGCATTGGATAGCAATGAAAATAATAAGGTAACTTTCTGTCCAACCCATTGAGCTCCAACACTTTCCCCATAAAATCGTCTGACATTAGACAGATCGAGTAAAATAATAAAGCAGGGCGCATTAAGGGTGAACTGCCACTTAATAGGTAACTACACATGTGGGCAGATAGTCGGATTAACCCATTGAGCGCCAGAGTTCTCCCCTTGACGAGTAAAATCGTCTGTTATTAGACATAGTAAAATAATAAAGCAGGGCGCACTGGAGGGAAACGCAAATTAATTAGTTACTAGACACATAGGCAGACAATCTGATTAACCCATTGAGCTCCAGCATTCTCTCCTTGACGAGTAAAATCGTCTGGCATTAGGCAGAGTAAAGCTAGTAATAATGTAGGGGCAATGCAACTTAAAGGATTAACCTAACAACGTTGACGAGTCGTCCCTCGTACTGCTTTATTTGTATGCAATATCATATCAAATACGACAATTCGGACTGTACCGGCTATCCAGCTCTGGGACTAAACTAATTACAGGGCGACAGGATATACCTGGTAAAGTCCTCATCATCGGATTTTACGTACTACACCCGTGTTAATTCTTCTGAATATATTTCACAATTAATTGGCTGATGTAACCTCTAGCTTGCGTGTCTTCCTTCCCGGCCCTTTTACAATGCGATAGTTTCCAAAGAATCCGCCGATTGATAACATCTAATTCACTGCATTTTATACAGTGTCTAGTAGTAATGTGTTCTTTGTTCCCCCAACTTATATATATTTGTTACAACTATATATAGCATATATTTCATTTGTTATGTCTATTTTGTCTGGGCTTTAGAGTATTGGTGAAGACGATGTTGATGCCGATAAGCTTGGCGATAGCTTGGGAACTAATGGGACTGAGAACTGGGACCAAAACGATGGAAATATTGATGAAAGAAATGGCGGTCTGGATGATTCGATGGGGTATGAAGATTACAGGGATAGCATAGTTAACTAAACTAACTTTACTTATATTAGATAACCGTTCTATCAGTTCTAAACTGTTCTCCCTAGACGTCCAGTACAGATCATCGCTTATTGCCGATCCAGTGTTATTACAGGAGGAAACCTAAACTGAACTAACTTTATTTATACTGGATAGCTCTATCAATTCTAAACTGTTTTTCCTAGATGTCCAGTACAGATCATCGCTTATTGATCCAGTGTTACTACAGGAGGAAGCCTAAACTGAACTAACTTTATTTATACTGGGTAGCTCTATCCGTTTTAAACTTTTCTCCCTAAAGGTGCGGTAAGGATTATCTCTTATTGATCCAGTGTTACTACAGGAGGGAACCTAAACTAAACTAACTTTATTTATTTATACTGGATATCTCTATCAGTTCTAAACTGTTCTCCCTACAGGTCCAGTAATGTTATCTCTTATTGATCCAGTGTTACTACAGGATAGAACCTCAACTAAACTAACTTCATTTATATTGGATAGCTCTGTCAGTTCTGAACTGTTTTCCTCAGAGGTGCAGTAATATGCTATATTCTATGAAATAACATATTAATATTACACGTTTCAGTAGCCTGCTGAACGATTCTGAACAAGAAAAACTTGATGCGGAAAGTGCATTTGACACCAACGCAATTGACAACGAAAGTCCAACAGACCAACTCGACTCTGCAGAAAATGACCTACAAGTGACGTTTTCCGAACCTTTGGCGACCGATCGACGTCTATCCACGAATGATACCGAAAATGGCACGAAGTCACCAAAGTCGATTCTCAAAGGAACGGTCAATGATAAAAATAGAATTTTCGAACATGAACTTGATCCATCCATTATGAGGCGACTGACGTCACCTGAGGAAACTGAGAAACCTCCGACTAAACCCACGATGGCAAGACGCTCGGCTGACCTGAGGCAAGTATTTGACATCTGTCAAGTAGTACCATTTATATAACAACATTGAGAATTCAAGCGCTTTCATTGGTCGAGAGCCTTGATCTATTAGAGGACAGACGCACGGAATTACATCACACAAAACTTTGTTTCGTGCAATCAATCACAACACATTGACGTGATTTAGCCATATTTGTATAGATCCATGTACGCGTGATATTTGTAAAATTTCGACTTTTTCAAATTTTTTGGGTGGGTAAAAAGTAAGCTATTTACCTGTTTAATTCGGCGGCTCGTGAGCCACTTTTTTGTTCTTCTCAAATTATGACGTCATACTGTGTATCTATAACTGAACAGACAACGGCAGAATCTTATCTATTTGTTAAGTAGCAGATGTGCTCCACATCACCTAAACCTGCTACTGTAGGTTGAGGGTATAGGGTATTTTTCGTTAAATCATGTTGCCGCCTTAAGCTGCCACTCTCCCAACTCAATATTGAGTTTGTGTCATGGTAAATTACTGAAAGTTGTTTTGGCTTTCTTTACAACATTGGACTGGGGGAGAGGAGAGGAGACGAGAGGACGACGTTTGTTTTGTCAATGTGCATTCACTTTGTAATATTAACAACAATGGTCTCAAGGGTTATGTTCCCGAGATTGATTGTAGCTCTTCTACCTCAGCTGAGTTTTGTGATTGGAAATGAAACGTATAGTGCCAACTAGAGGCGCCCAAACTAGCCTCAACTCGGCCTTCGGTCGAACTTCTCAAGATCGATTTCTTCTTTCATTCAAGCTAAGAAAAATGTGTTTGATTTCCTTGTATGATCTAGACCACAGAGCAAGCCAGATATTCTCCTACCCGACCATGACAGTCAGGCACAGTCCAGGAGCAAACAGACAACTGATCAAGAAGCGGAACAAACCTCCAGCGACGATGACGGGTAAGACACGTTTAATTTTTACACGAGACCTGGGCGAAATCACCGATGGGCGATTTTATTTCAATCGTTGCTTTCTTAGACAGCGCTGTTTTATTTCTAGGTTGTCTGACTCTGATTTCTACAGCTCTACCGGGAGACGCAGACCCAAGGTTAGTAAACTGAAAGTTAAACTGTCAAATGTTCAGTTAATACTGTGTTCCATTTCAACCGTATCGTCAAGAAGCTCTCGGTTTCATTAGCACTTGAGCGAAAATATTGACGGTTCGTCGAAAGAACAGGAATTAGCTGGAGACAATGGTATTAAAACTGTTTACAACCTGGCATCACTTTTTTCATAGGCTGAATGACTGAATGAGTAGTACATTTCCCTATGATGACTGATAGTAGTACATTTTCCTATGATGACTGATAGTAGTACATTTTCCTATCATGACTGATAGTAGTACATTTTCCTGTCATGACTGAATGAGTAGTACATTTTCCTGTCATGACTGATTGTAGTACATTGACAAAGTGATTTTAAAAATAAACGTTTCTCCAAACCGAGAAAATCAAAGCTAAGGTTTATGTAAATGAACATGATTTTTTATCACACATTTAATCACCGACACGGTAGTGATTTCCTTTGTCTTTTCTCATGAATTATTGATGAGTTTTTTAATTCCATGTAGTTTTCGAAGCTTCTGATAACTATCGTTTTTGTTTAGCCGAAGAGCAATATTTATAGTAAACGTACCAAGTTGAAGCCGCCAAGTCAAAAATTGCGAAAGAGAAAGGGGTCTAACAATAGTGACAATGATGACGTCATTATGTCTGCGGAATCCGCTTTGCTCATGGAACAAATTCTTGAAGAAGAAAAAGTTTGTATATTTCATCACGGCAGATTATTGTAGAATCATGACTAACTACATTAACCCTTGTTTGAGATATCTTTGTTTCAAGTAGTTGAGACACAAACCACGACGGCTTATTGTAGAATACTACCTACACTTGACCCCCACGTTTGACATATCTTTCTCAGGACGTCCAGACACAAACCATGGCAGCTTATTGTAGAATATTACCTACACTGGACCATCTCGTTTGATACTGTAGAATGATTAAGACTTATAATATATCACAACTCTTCCAGATTGATCATAGTTAGATAATTGAATGATATTGAAGACGATCTCTATTTTTTAGCGCCTCAGAGAAGGCATGAAGCCATGGCTCAAAGGCCGCCTGGCTTTATCTCAGCAGAACAGTCGCTTTGAAATTCCAATGGATGTTCGCTTGCTTGAAAGTGAGTGCTATACTACTTTTCTGTTTTTATATTTTTTCTTCGCTTAAGGAGCCAAAATTAATAAGTTGCTAAATTTATTTTAAACCTGATAAAACAATATTAGTCCTCGTTTGTTGAACAATTTCTATCTGACTTTAATTTTCAGCGATGACCCCTATGGAGTATCTAACGAAGTACTGTGTAATAAGGTGATCTTTTCTTCTTTATTTAATCATTTTAACTTTTGCAAAGAAACTTTGCCATTAATAGCCAGTCTGATTGAAGTTTCATTGAACATCTTTTACAGCAAGAGGAGAAAAGCATTGTATCAACATGTGTTTCAAAAAGTTGACAAAAATCGCGACGGAATCATTACTTTTACCGTATGTTTTTTTGTTGATTTAAAAAACTTAACTAACGGCCTATTTCCACTCAAGAAAAAATTCCGCGGACAGAAAATTCCCCGAAAATGTCATTGTTTAAAGTTGAAAATTTTCAACTTCAACACTTTTTCGACGGAAACTTTGCGTCGGCCAATCACAAGTTACAAAATTTTCTTTCAGGGAAACATTTTACTCAGTGGAAATAGGCCTTAACTTTATTTAGTGTTATATATTACACTGGATAGCTCCATCAGTTTTAATTTGCAGAGTTCTCCCGAGAAGTCTAGTAAGAGTAATCCCTTATCGATCCAGTGCAAGTACAGGAGGAAGGCGGAGTGTCGGAGTATCCGAGGAAAACCTGCGCTGTTTTTTGTGTAGAGTCAAACGAGAAAGACTCGTCCCGGCGCGTCTGACTGAGTGTCTTGCTTTGATGCTTTCCCTGTATAAATTAATTGCAGGAATTAGAAAAAGGTTTGAAAGATGTTCATACGGGAATTTTGGATTCTCAGCATGTCGAAAACATTGTCGAGGTTTGTGTTTTGTATGGATTTGTTTCAATAAGCGTTATCGTGCGGGAGATGGTAGCCTTTCATCCGGAAGTTACTATAGACTTTGCCCATTAAGCCCATGGTCACAAAACAACGATAAAGGTTGTTTACACTTGAAATTTTTGCTGCGATTCTTCTGATGCAGTGAAATCGACTGTAACGATACAATAACTTGTAAACACGCGATGATTGGGTCAAATAAATTATGTTGGTGTCCACATGCCTACAACGAAAACGATAAAATTATCATTTGCATGACGATAACGCTAATGATTTTAAAATCGCTTATCCGAGTGATTACTTTTTTTCAGTCGAACGATAACGATAACTTTTTTGACCAATCAGCGCACGTATACAAGTTATCATATCGTTATCGTTGTGTGGTGTGACCGGGCCTTAAGCGTCTGTGAGCAGGCTATAGGCAATTATAGGAGTGAGAAAATCATGTTAAGTAATTCCATTATATGTAATGTATAATATATGTAAAAAGTAAAATGTACTTTAATTTACTTAGGTGAAGATTTATTTAAGATGATGGTCTTTGAGTTTGTCCATACTTCGCAACTGATATCGAAAGAACTAGACTGGGTTTCGAAATATCACCCACTTGAACCGACTTCGTAAGAAGATTTATTTAAGAAGATGCTCTACTCAGATGGTAGAGCATTGGACTAGCAAATCCAAAGGTCGCGGGTTTGATTCCTACCGTGGTCAAGCAAACTTTTCAGCTTGCCCGGTATGGACACACTCAGAGAGCATCATCATTAATGTACTTTAATTTTCTAAAGTTATTAACCTTGTTCTGCAACGTAACGCTTATGCAAACCTATATACCAATGTACGTATTTGCAGTTTCTAATATAAATGTAGTTCTTTTAAAATGAGGTTTTATCCTTGCTATCTTTAGATGGTTCTTATTGATAAAGAAGAAGATTTCGACCTCAAGAAGTTCTCAGCAATTGCCGCTTTCTCCGAAAGGATTTCATGCAAGGACCAGTTACCGTGAGTCATTTGACAATTTAGTCCCACTATGCAAATTCAAAATTATTATCTTTATTAATTTATTTAGAAATTGATTGTTTTCATCTTGTATGAAGAAACTGCATCAAATACTAGAGTCAAGAACTTATTTAGGCAATCAACTCTGGAAATGATAATCTTACGTCTTTTCCAAGCTGTTTTATTGTTCCACTGTTTGGTCCTCAACGAGTCAGAAGAACATTTGTAAACTTAAGACAGTGCAAAATTTTGCTGCACGCATAATGACAGGATCTCAAAAATACGACCATATAACACCTGCTTTAAAGCAACTGAAATGGCTTCCCGTTGAGAATATCTTGTATCTCCGGGATTGCGTTATGACGTATAAATGTATGAACAAGTTAGCACCTGATTACCTATGCCAAAAGTTTGTTACTCGTTCTGAAATTAGTAATCGCGTAACACGGCAGAGTAAACAACTACATAAACCTCTTTGTAGAACTTCTAAAGCTCAAAAGTTTTTTTTTATACAGGGCTTCCACAATTTGGAATAGCCTTGACGACTCACTAAAATCTAGAATGACAGTCCAAAGTTTTAAACTTAATATAAAGAAAAATCTTCTCACGGATTTCTTAAATAAGTAATCCTCTACAAATGTAAATTTGAACCAATGTTCCATATTGGATTTTTTTAGATATCATAGCATATTCGCAAACTTAAACCTTTGTAAATATAGCGATATATAGTTGGTAATATTAAGAAGCACTGTAAATTAGAGCTGAAAAGCCTCTCGAGGAGCATCTAATAAATCATGTATGTATGTATGTATTGTTTTCACAGTCAATGAACATGAAAATATTTGCATAGCGGGACTAAATTGTCACCCGGGCTACCAACTTAAGTTGACTTTGTATAATTTTACCACTCCAATTTTTGCATATTCTTCAATTACAAATTGAACTGTATATTTTTCAAGTATCAAGTGGACATGTTTTTTATTCCAGGGTGGAAATGCTGAACAATTTCGATGGGCAGAAAGAAGTCATAGAGTGTGCTGATTTTTTTGCGCTCAACTGGAAACTCGATGGAATTAAAGTAAACCTTTTTGTTTAGCGTGATAACTTGTGTTATATATTAGATATTTTCACATTGGTCAGGGTAAATGTGATTGTTAATGCTTCTACGTTTATACGTCCTAGGTCAACCCTGATGTGAAGAAAATATTGGATTCTCTATAGGAAGAAAGCTATAAACAATTACCACCAAAGTCAAAGCATTCAAAGTGACGAAAAAGTCAATGCCGATTGCCGCATAAAAATGAATCAGGATGATCATACTCTGTCAAGCTACGATGGTCTGGAACTACTGGAAGCCCGGCAAACAGTAGAAGACCTTTTTTGATGTTGAACTGTACCAGTGGCGTGCTGGGTACTATTTTTCTGGGGGGGGGGGGCAGCGGGGCTGTCAACCAATATGCGCCCCTATAATGTCACGCTTGGTAAACGAGGGCCGAAGGCACGAGCCGAGCGGCGCAGGTGCGAGGTTTGTCTAGGGGGATCCAGGGGCATGCCCCCAGGAAAATTTTTGAATTTAGAGTCTCTGAAATGCCATTTCCTGGACTTTGGGGGAAGATTTGACAGAAATCTGATGGTCAGGAAACGGCATTATAACGTGTAGAAATTTGGAATTTGGTTAGAATTTTGTAGTAGTACTTAAATTATGCAATGCTAACTAATTCCAGCATTTAATCTAATCCCAATTCTATTCTCTACTGATCTAGTGATCTGAATACATTTACAACTTACAGCTGACAGCTCTTTTATACAATAACACACGGACCTCACGCATATGCATTTTAAGGTTTCCTTGCTTGGCGGGCTATTAGTAAAACACGGAGCACACGGAGCACGGAGCATACAGAGTACCTCAGTACGGAGCACATGCATGGAGTGCGCTGAGCAGTAGAAAAACCAAAATCCTTTATGATAAAATTCATTGTTTACCATTACAATTTTTGTTATATTATTAATAAAGATTTTTAGCGTTTTGCACGTTGGGGAAGTAAGAAAATGGGGCTTTCAAAAAACACATATGATACAAAACTGCCAAAAGCCATTGTTGCATTTCAAATAGCTGAAATAGGATTGTGAAACTCGTTAAGTTAATATTTTATGTGTTTCTTGCGCAAACAACTAAATTTCGTACACAAGTTTACATTATCGTAACTTCAACTATCTAATTTGCGCCGCTCTCGTGATTCGTGTAGCATAATAAAGGGCATAATATAAGGGCATAATATAAGGGCATAATATAAGGGTATAATATAAGGGCATAATATAAGGGCATAATATAAGGGCATAATATAAGGGCATAATATAAGGGCATAATATAAGGGCATAATATAAGGGCATAATATAAGGGCATAATATAAGGGCATAATATAAGGGCACAATATAAGGGCATAATATAAGGGCATAATACCAGCAAAAAAGGCATAATTCCTGTGATCTCTTCGAAACCTGACCAATATTCCGGTAATGAGACATTGCGTGTGATCACTGATCATGTTTCTATATGAACGATTTCGTGTGAGCCGTGAGGTAGCGAATTAGCAAATACGGTTAGACAAAATAGTCTGTAATTATAATTTATTATATCACTTTGTCGCCTAAGTATGTTTGATAAGCCTATAAACACATCTTTTCTTGGCGGAAGTTACTATATTTTTTCTAATGCGTTTTTTCCCACCCACTTTCGAAATTCGGCACGGGATCGGCGCCCCTTTTTCATTTTTGCGCCCCCCCAAGAATTGCCAGTTGGGGGGGGGGGCGTGGCCCCCCGCCCCCCTGCCAGCACGCCACTGAGTTACTGTATCTCACCGTGCACGAATCCTTTGTCTCAACTTCATTAAATATTATGCACGTTTCATCTCAACTATCCGCCTATCCCTATTGGACTATTGTTCCGTTATACGAAAATACAATGATCTCAATCACCGTGATCGTGCACAGATTAACAAATTTTGCAAAAGACGAAAACATAACACAATGCAACGAGTTCTGTTTAGTTTCCAGACTGTCATATCTTGATAGACTATGGAATGATAAAGTCATCGAAATATGAAACGAAAATCGAAATCTGAAAATTCCGAAAACAAAAGGCGCCGTAGGTGTTCCCCGAGTGTTTCAAAAGAAACGAAAAGAGAGTAACAAATGTAAATTATAAAGCACTTTATACAAATTTATACAGTGTAATGCACATACAGCCAAAATTTGACAGCTTACAGCACGAACATTTAAACGTGCATGTATAAGGCAGATTATGGCTGTAAGCAGAGACAAATATTTATATTATTTATTGTGATACAAAGTATGAATATTAAAATATTGATATAATCCATTTTTTGCTATATTATAATAGCTCGTCTTGTAATGCAATCAAGATCGTTTCCACTTCAACGGTAAAGTGCCGCAACCTGTATAGCTAGGTGATGTACAACCACTCCCATGAGATTCAAAGGACAAAGAGATTTTGCATTGCAAACAAGCAAAATCCTTTGTCAATGTCATCCAACATGGCGCCGGTGACGTAACTGGCACACCACCTGTAGTGAGCTCAGTGGTAGTGAGGGGCCTGTACCGGTTTTGCGGGATGCGTCTAAAATTGAAGAGGGATTTGGGATTTTAAGAGAAATATTGGCGGGAAGCGGGATTTTATTCCATCGCGGGAAGCGGGATTAATAAAAATACCATGGCGATATGCGGGAAGTAACCCATGATTAGCGGGATAAAACAACAAAACTTGTAGCCGTACGTTAGCTGATCTGTTGTCATTTGTTTGTGTGCTTGAAATTTACTGTTTTCCAGATGATATCGAACATTTGTCCCCATCAATCCCCCATTTACAAGCATATGATTGCTGCTTTCATAAGAGTCGCGATTGAGAGCTATCATTTATTATTTTAAACTTTGTTGTATTGTATTCTAATCTATTCAAATTGTGTTTTATGCCGTTACCATGTTCTTCAAATCATAATACGTTGAACAGTGTTTGAAAAAAAGTCGGGAGCGGGAAATTGGGATGAGGCATGGCGGGATAACGGGATTTGAAGTGAAAATCCTGTGAAAATTGGTCGGGATGGCGGGATTTCGGAACCCGGCACAGGCCCCTCTGTAGTGTTCAGTTTTGTTTCCTGATTTATACTGCGTGAATTATTTTTTTTTATTTTCATTACTCATGAAACATCCCGCACGACTTCGAACGTTTGGCGTGGTTATGAGAATGATGTAAATAACGTAACAGTTTGAACAACTATACAGTATAGGTCATAGAGTATGTCATGAAGTTACCGTTGTATTTGTCAAACTCACGGGCTTAAGACGAAGTGGTAGGAAAGTATGTTGGTACCGTACCCTATATGTGAACAGGCTTTGTGGTTGGTTCATTATGACATTAAAAGATGCTATATTAGTCAATAAGTGTAGAAATAATCTTTCTAAAAATACGAGTCATAATCACTGTTGTTTCAGAAAGCCAATCAAAAAAGAAATATGTTCCTACATAACCCAACATTACACATAAGATGCAACGCCATGTTTTATTAAGAAATGCATGGTATGGTCTATCAGGGACCGAGGAACGTTTTGGGGATTGGTGGGGCTTACGCGAGCGCCGAAGGTGCGTGGCCGCTTGGGGTGTCCGGGGTTATGCCCCTGGGAACATTTTGAAATTTAGGCCTCCGAAATGGCCGCAAATGCTTCTAAATTTAACGGTTATCGGAAAATAGTAGATACTTTTTTGTGTCTAAGTTATTTAATTTTGGCCAAACATTTGTACTGAAC